GGGAAAGACGGGAATTCCTCCCAATGGGCTGCTTCTTAGTGCAGCAGCCAGTGCTGGGGGTATGGGGCCAGCAGCGGCCACCTTGGGGGCCCCATGAGCCGGCTCCCTGCCCCCTCTGGCCAGTCTCTCCGTCCCCCGCAGATGGCTCGCCCCTGTGCAGCCGCACCGTCCTCCACGTCCAGGCTCCCTCGGCCCTCACGGCAGAAGCTGCCCTCCGGTACTTGCATAAACCTAGAGTCCTCTCTCAACCCCTGTAGGTAGTTAACCACCTCTGACTCATTAACCAGTCTTTGTGTTAGCCTCTCCCCGTTCAAATGACTGGAGTGGGTTCTTCCCCTGACTGAACATACCAGTAACCCCCGCGGGGCCCTTGCTCGTCCCTCTGCCTGGAAGAGTCTTCACCTGGATGAGTAAATACTCAGACGTGGCAATCCACTGACCACTCGGCGTCCAGTCCTTCCTGTGGTTAAGCTGAAGCCCTGAGCAGCCTCCATCTTTTCTTTGAAACAAGAGGCACAGACCTGACCACTGGGCACCATCGCCTGCAACCAGATGAGCCCAGGACAGTGTGGGTGAGAGGCCTGCTTGTGATACAAGCCAGACCTTGACTCCAATTCTGTGTACCTGACTGAGAGCCGTGTCACCACTGCCTACAAGGCCCAGAAACAGGCCCAGATTCTCTGAGACCACGTGCTTCTACCCCTATGGTCCAAAAAAGTACTGCTTGAGTCCCTAGTATGTACCTGACACTGTTCTGGGCGCTGGGCAGATAGCAATGCTTGGCTCTGGTTCTTCCCTATGATGCCCCACCCGTCCCAGGAGTAACCCTTCTTCTAACAACACCAAGAATGCACTGGGTGAAGCCTCACCCACAGGCTAGAGTCTCCCCACAGCCCAGCTGAGGTTCTAAGGGGGGCTGCACAGGCCCTGCACACAGCCTGCACAAAGATGCCCCGCCTGGGGTGGGGGTCAAGGTGCATCTGGAGGCTTTGTGCCTGCGGGCGGGGGTGGGGTGCGGTGTGAGCCCAGCAAGGTCATGTATCTGTGAGAGTATGTGCGACGGAAGGTGCTAGGCCCAGCGCAGAGCCAGTGGGTCATTCAGGACGCTGAGCTGGCCTATGCAGGGGCTCCCTTATCCAGGGAGAAGGGGCAGAAGCAGCAGTGGCCTCGGTCCCTGGCACAAGCCACTTAGGCTGGGGCTGGGCCAGCTGCTGGAGAGAGCAAAGGAGAATTGTCTCCTGGGGTGGAAGAGAAGCACGCCTCCACAGACGCATTGAAGCTGAGACCACCCAGCTTCCGCTGGCTCCTGTACCAGGTGGGGCCCTGCTGTCAGTGTGCTCATTTTCTATGCTGGGCAACAGATTTCCACAAACTTAACAGCTTACAACAACACACTTGTATTATCCCACAGTTTCTGTGGGTCAGGAGCCCAGGCTGAGTCCTCTGCCATCTCCTGAAACTGCCATCCACGGCACACTGGGCTGTGTTCCCATCTGGGGGCTCGACTGGGGAAGAAGTCACTTCCAAGTTCATTTAAGTTGTGAGCAGAACTCGATTCCTTTGCGGTTGTAGGACTAATGCCGAAAGCTCAGCTTCTCTGCACGAGTGCCACATCGAGTCTCAGAGACAGAGTTTTGGGTGAAGCAGAAAAGAACAGCTTTATTGCTTTGCCAGGCAAAGGGGGACACGGTGGGCTCCTGCCTCGAAAACTGTGTCCCAACCCCAGAGGATTTGATGAGGGGTTTTATAACAATGGTTCCCAGCTGGGGTTCTGGCAGATGAGGGGGTGCGCAGGGTCTCAGGTGGTCGGTCTTCTAATCCTGACGAGCTGCTCTGGCGCCGATAGTCTCGCCTCAGGCTGCTCCTTCCTTGATGAGCAACTGTTCGAATCTGCCCTTTGGAACCCGGGGAAGGTCATGGAGGCTAGAACCTTGCCCACAAGAGATAGGGGACCGTAGGGCCTCTCTCGGTTTCAGGAATGAGGTCCCCGTTTTGCTGCTGGCCATCAGCTAGGGACCCCTCGCACCTCGAAGAGGACGCCTGCACTTCCTTGCCGTGCTCCTCCCCCCAAGGTCCCTCCCTTCAAAGCCAGTAAGGGGGAGTCTTCTACCTCACAGGCGTGACATCTGGTGGGTTAAAAGCAACTCACAGTTCCTGACTGAGCTCAAAAGGGAGGGATTAGGGCTTCCCTGGTGGCGCGGTGGTTGAGAGTCCGCCTGCCGATGCAGGGGACACGGGTTCATGCCCCGGTCCGGGAAGATCCCACATGCCGCGGAGCGGCTGGGCCCGTGAGCCGTGGCCGCTGAGCCTGCGCGTCCGGAGCCTGTGCTCCGCAACGGGAGAGGCCACAACAGTGAGAGGCCCGCGTACCGCAAAAACAAACAAACAAACAAAAAAAAGAATCTGATGAAGATTATGAACTCTATCCAGGGAAAAGCACATTCACCAATAAACATCTGGCAAATCATTTCCAAGAGTTTACCAACTTCCTACAGACTATCCACGGGCTTCAGTTTAACAATCCCTGGGGCTAAATGCCTTTTTTTTTCCCCCCAGTGGCTCTCTCTAGTTCTAAGTCTCCTTAGAAATGGAAACAGAAAAGTAGCAATTTCCATCCTTGTTAAAACATACCCCCAAGAATGGTGCTGACATATCCCTCACCACATGTTCTGATGGCCAGGATTCTGGAAAATCCCTGTGCTATGAAGATAAGCGATTTAGGCAAGAAAGCCCCATATAGCTGTTTCTTTGCCTCCCGAAAATGAAAGCTAATCATTTGTAGAATCTAATGGACCCTCTCCCCTCAGGTAATCTCTCTCCATCTTTCAATTCGTTCCATAAAATGTTTAGCAATTTGGAAATTCAGCTTTTGCTAAATTTAGTTGGAGCTGTTGTGTTGAATTTAAATAGACATGTTGTAAATAAAATCATTTTGAAATCTTTTTCTATCAGAACAACAATTGAGTAAAGTAGGAATTCTATAAAAGCATCGTTGTAAAATCTTTCAAAAGTATAACTTTTTCGAGCTCTATCACTGAAACTGATCCACAGGAAAATCACCAATTCAGACTCATGGAACAACTTGGTAATGCTGACCTTCAAAATAAAACTGTTATTTTTCCTGCTAAAATGGACTTATTCAGGAAACTGTACTTTGGAAGGAGCAAGTTACAGCAAAAGCCATAGGCAAATCCAATGAAGGAGAGGAATGAAACATTTATAAAGAAAAAGGAGGAAGTTGGGAAGGGTTGTTTTGAACAAAAGTCTTTTGAAGAAAAGTGAGAGTCCAAGGTGATGATGCATCGGTACTCACTGGCTGAGTTGCCGGGTTATTTCTTATAGGGGATGCAATGCATGTCTTTGCCTGTTGGGGGCTGTGACTGATGACTCTTTCC